GATATTTTCCCGGTTCTGTTCTGTGCTCCGTTTCTCTTTGAAGCGGCTGCCGCTTGAACCCCTCACCCTGGCAGGTTTCACGGGGAAGCTCCCGCGGACACATCCCTTTAGGGCAGTGTTTCTCAACCTTGGCAACTTGAAGACGTCCGGACTTCAACTCCCAAAATTCCCCAGCCAGCGAATGCTGGCTGGGGAATTCTGGGAGTTGAAGGCCGGACGTCTTCAAGTTGCCAAGGCTGAGAAACACTGCTTTAGGGTCAAGTCAAGACTTCATAAATCTGAGCTTTCAGTCTCGCCTTTGGCTGCTGCAATCTGATTATTCTGTAGCTGTAAAGAACAGGAAAACAATAGGCAGAAAGCCAGAGCTGATAAGCAAAGGACAAGCCTCTTTATGGATGCCCATCCGGGCTCTTCTAAATTGATCCCTGGGATAAAGCCCCCCAAAATGTATTTCTTTACTGCAGCGATCTAGAGGGAATGCCGCATTTCTGATCTGAAGTGAGCTTTCTTGGCTAATGCTTCAAAAACGCATGAATAGGGTGAGGAGAGCGAATCAAACCAGCGTTGGCAAGAAAAGTTGCATTTAGTTCAGAACTACGCATTGCATTCCTCTCCTTGATTGCTCTTCTGTTGCATGCCTCCAATAGTGAAGTTTTGAAACCTGACTCCTAACCTTCTCCCTTTCTGTTCCTTCTCCTGCAGGAGACGTTTTTATCCTCGTCTTCAGCCTGGACAACCGGGACTCCTTCGAGGAAGTCCAGCGTCTGAAGCAGCAGATTCTGGAAACCAAATCTTGCCTGAAAAACAAGACCAAGGAGAACATTGAGGTTCCTCTGGTCATCTGCGGGAACAAAGGCGACCGGGACTTTTACCGGGAGGTTGAATCCCGAGAGATCGAGCAGCTGTTGGGCCAGGACTCCAAAAAGTGTCCCTATTTCGAGATCTCCGCCAAGAAGAACAGCAGCCTGGATGAGATGTTCCAGGCGCTCTTCACCATGGCCAAGCTGCCCAACGAAATGAGCCCAGATTTGCACCGCAAAGTCTCCGTGCAGTATTGTGACCTTCTGCACAAGAAGACCCTCAAGGGGAAAAAGCTCCTGAAGGACTCCTCTGGAGACGGGACTGGGGAAGCCTACGGCATCGTGGCCCCCTTTGCTCGCCGGCCCAGCGTCCACAGCGACCTCATGTACATCCGGGAGAAAGCCATCCGAGGCAGTCAAGCCAAGGACAAAGAACGCTGCGTGATCAGCTAAGGCTTCCCTCTCTGGCCTTTCAACCAAGAAGGTTCTTTGGTATCCAAACTCTGCCAGCCCATCTGGGGGGCACGCAAGCCTCGGGCTGGACATGTGGGACACAGGGTGCCTCCTCAGCTCTCCGCGGGGAGCTTTCTGCCATCGGCTCCCCGAGATTATTTTCCTCTTAGCAAGAGTTGGAGGTGAGGCCGGACCTGAGACTGGAGAAGGGACATTGCAGACTCCGTGGTGGGAAAGGAGGCCACTCAAGTCTGCGTCTGTGGTCACAAAGACTGGGGGGGGGGAAGGGGAGGGGGGATTTGGTGGAGTGGGCAGCTGAACTCCCCAACTTTCTCATGGCTGTGTCTGTGATGCTTTTTGTGTGGTGCCTCTGAGCGTGTTGAAACGTTTCATTTGCTGCTGCTGCTGAAAATTATCCACGGCTTCTCCCCTTCCCCTTCACCCCGCACTTTTTGTGGGAGACGGCAGGGAAGCTGTTGGAAAAGTGATCCTGTTTACACCCCTTCCCCCTTTTTTCCCTGGGACGTTGTTGACAAACAAACCGACCAACAACCACATTGCATTAAAGCCAACAGGCACTTTACACACACATGTAGAATGATCAGGTTAATTGTCAATATTGATGTTTTTGCTCTGACAATGTTTGACACTGGTTTTTTGTTATATTGGGGGGGTTTTCTATGAAATAAAACTTTTGAAAAGAAAAAAAACAACTTTGGTGTTGGCTTCTTTGGTGGGGTGAGGGACATGTGGAGGGGGGGGCTATATATCTGTTGGACAGGGTTGAGTTTTGGGGTTCAACGACACAGCAATTTTCCTGAGGTTAGCAATAGCAATAGCAGTTAGACTTATATACCGCTTCATAGGGCTTTCAGCCCTCTCTAAGCGGTTTACAG